CCTAAGAAACAATTGAGTGACGCGTATAAAGTTAACACAGTTAGGATTTTTTAAAAATTGTATCCTTTTATTTTCAGGTAAAAAAGAACCGAACTGTAATTGGTAAGATCATTGATGTTGTTCGACTTCTTGGAAAATTGAATTTACCATTTAGGGGACACCGCGAGGATAAGCATTCTTTAAACAAAGGAGTGTTTAAAGAATTTCTTGAACATATAGCAAAGTCTGATTCTCTTATTGAAGATCATTTACGAAATTCTGCAGGTAACTATATCATTCACTGGTTCAGTAACGTTCAGGTTACTACGAATTTTCGGTGGAATATAGGGATATATGAAACTGCATGATAATAGAATGGAATAAGGAATAATAAAGATAAACTGAAGTCGTAATTATGATAATTCTGTAATTAGTAGTAAAGCCCCCCACTATGGAGTACAAAGGGATGCCGCCAATGACGTCACGCTGCTCCGAAAGTAATTAGTATGCAAAATATGTGACGTAACTTTGCAGGCCCTAACCCTAACCCTGGGCTGAGTAGCGCGACCAATTAACGCGGGCAGGCCTGGGCCAACTGTGACAGGTAGCGCGACCAATTAACGCGGGCAGGCCTGGACCAAACGTGACAGGTAGCACGACCAATTAACGCGGGCAGGCCTGGTGTATTTTGATTGTTTTTTCCGAGTGATTAAAACCTGCTCTTGCGATAGCTCAGTTGGTAGAGCGGAGGACTGTAGTTCCTTAGGTCGTTGGTTCAAGCCCAGCTCGCAAGATTTAAAAACAGGCGTTCTTTTTCGCGGAAAAATGTATATGTATTTCGGAGCCTAATTCAAAATAACCGGAAACTTTGAAAGCTTAAAGCATAATCTAAATAGCTCGGAATTTGGCTCGAAGCCGGTCCGTTCGAAGCATAGTCTTTAGTTGACAACGCTTGGTTCATGTATACACGGTAAAGTTACTACCTCTTCGACTACGAAAAATGGTACATTTTGATTCTGTGGGAAAAAAACTTTTAGAACAGTTGTAATATATTTTGTCATAAAAAATTAACTCAAATGTGCAGTTGCTATATACGTTGTTATGTATTGTCGGTCATTAGCGGCGCTTGGGTGCATGCATATATTAATGTACGACATAGTTGTACTCAGGCGGGCGGGTTGCGCGGATAGGAAAGATCGGGCTTTGCGGGCAAAAATTTACACAAGATTTCAGTTTTAAAATTGCATTTATTTCTTCAAAACGTTTTACAAAATTTAGTACGGTCTACTTCTCAGAGCATAACGTTTAGGTGTTTTTGTTATTTTTAAAGAGTTCTCATATTCTTGCCTATCTTCAGGTGATAATCGTGCAACATCTTCATGTTTCATTGGAATATATTTCGGTCTTTCGTTTAGTAAAAAACGTTCATAACGCTCTCTTTCCTTCGGTTTCATCATAGCCAGATCACTTTCTTTCCAATCAGCAGAATCTACCCAATTGTGAAAAAAGTTGCGCTTGAGTTTTGGTCGTTCCTCTTCTGTTTGTGGCGGTGTAAGGAAATTAGGCTTAGGAGTGGCAGGTATTGGTGATGGTATTTCCGTTGGCACAGAAATAGGAGGTACTTGTGGTGGTATTTCTGCAGACACTAGTGGAGTTCTCTGAACAAGGGCTTGAGCCGGGACATCCATCTTATTTTTGAATGTCAGAAACCGGTTTAGCTGATCAGAATATAACTTGCTTTTGTCCACTGCGCTCAGCTGTGGCGCTTCTATGATTTCTTTCATTCGCTGCTCGGCATCATACATTGCATTTAATTGTGGTGGTTGTTGATACGACTGTTTTTGTATAAACTTTGCAATCTCGCCGGGAAGTACGTTGGTCTTGAGTCGTTGTTGGTCGTCTGTTGTTGGCTTTAAATCCAACATCAAATACCCGTGAGGTCGGTTCGTGGCAGCTTCATAACTCTTCATAAATTCTTGTACTTTACCAGGATCTACCTGCCTTGCAAGCATAGAAATTTGCTGTTTATCTCTTGGTGACTTGAACAACACGATATAATGAGCATTAAGGCTGATATTTCTCATTTCTTTCCCCTGATGAAATATATTTTGGACAATATAGATGATGGACAAATTTCTATGATGGCTTCCTTTCGTAAAAAGATCAGAAATACGTTTATCTTTGCCAGATTGAGCCATAAGATCATCCAATACGATTAAATTCCGTTGAGATACGTCCAAGTAATTTGCGTTGTCGATGTCTTCGGGGATGCCTTGATTAAACTCGATTCCAGGCATCGTTCTCATCATATCAAAATAGGAGGGTTGCCATTGACCATAACACCAAATGATACGTTGAGGAGGTGGACTTATAGTCGTTTGAGCATTCTCCAAAAGAGATTTCACCCATACGGTTTTGCCGCTTTGTGTACACCCAGCTACGATGCACATGAAAGGATGCTGCATAACACTGGACCTATTGCCGATTACAGTTAACCTTCGTTCATCTGTACCGGTGCTATGCATCTGTTTTTTGTGACGTGAACGGTTACCAGGTGTTGAAAACGATCTTCCACAGACCTCGCAAGGATAAGACATGTTTACAGGTTCACAATCAAATGTAAAATGAATTCGAGGTTTGTGTACCGTTACGTAAATAGTATTATATGGTTAAACCAACATAAATAATCCTATGATATCCTAAGATGCTGTATGATATCCTAAGATGCTGTATGATATCTTAAGATACTGATATCCTAAGATACTGATATCCTAAGATCACTGTATGATATCCTAATATACTGTATGATATCCTAAATGTTGTATGATATCCTAAGATACTGATATCCTAAGATACTGTATGATATCCTAAGATACTGTATGATATCCTAAGATATTGTATGATATCCTAAGATACTGATATCCTAAGATACTGATATCCTAAGATACTGATATCCTAAGATACTGTATGATATCCTAAAATGTTGTATGATATTCTAAGATACTGATATCCTAAGATACTGTATGATATCCTAAGATACTGTATGATATCCTAAGATACTGTATGATATCCTAAGATATTGTATGATATTCTAAGATATTGTATGATATCCTAAGATACTGATATCCTAAGATACTGATATCCTAAGATACTGATATCCTAAGATATTGATATCCTAAGATATTGATATCCTAAAATACTCATGATATCCTAAGATACTCATGATATCCTAAGATACTGATATCCTAAAATACTGATATCCTGAGATATTGATATCCTAAGATACTATTTTCGTTAATATATAAATATGTTATTTCCAACTAAATATACCTGTCGCGATTTAGGAAGAGCGTATTTGCGTTGGGTTTTCAGTTGGCCCAACAAACCCCAACGCTTAATTAGTTATTCCAGAATCTCATGACAATGCCATAGAAAATGCCTATTGCCTAAAACTTAATACTTCATGTTAGGTTGTCAAGGACCGGAACAACTGGGGGGTGTAACACCCTCGAAGAAAAGTCAAGGAAGGGGGTCCAACTTGCTCACAGGATGAGGGGGGGGGGGGTTAATACTGGAATAATAATAAAAAACCCAAAAAAAACCAACAGACCCAACAGGCACAACATACCCAACAGGCACAACAGACCCAACAGACCCAACAGGCACAACAAACCCAACAGGCACAACAGACCCAACGGACCCAACAGGCACAACAGACCCAACAGGCACAACAGACCCAACAAAACCCAACAGCACAACAGACCCAACAGACCTAACAGGCACAACAGACCCAACAGGAACAACAGACGTCCAACAAACCCAACGGACCCAACAGGCACAACAGACCCAACAGGCACAACAGGCACAACAGACCCAACAAAACCCAACAGCACAACAGACCCAACAGACCTAACAGGCACAACAGACCCAACAGGCACAACAGACCCAACAAACCCAACGGACCCAACAGGCACAACAGACCCAACAGGCACAACAGACCCAACAAAACCCAACAGACCCAACAGACCTAACAGGTGATAAAATATAATAGTTTTGTTTGTGGAAACACCACATAAACTTATTACTGCAAAGCTTTCGATCCGTAAGCCCGGATCTTCATCAGTGCTAATAATAGTTTGAGTTAAATTTGTGACATGTGGAAATTAGTTTTCAGTTGGAAACCCGACAATTTAAAAAAATGGCTGGAATTCCTCTCACAACACAAGAAAAACTGTGCATTCACCATCTTTAACCAGTTTATAGTATCCCTTAGTGCCCCTGCTTTAACACATTCCATCTCAACTACATTTATTGAGTACAGGTGTCAGCCCCCCCCCCCTCCCCTGGTAGGGGGAGGGGTGCAGCCACCCTAAACTCAATCTTTTTTGCAAAAACGGACCCAAGAGAGAATCCTGAAAAAAACCTGAAATAGCTATAAGCTTTTAATAAAAATCATTATTTAAATTTTTATAAATATGTTTTAATGTTTATTCAGCTCAATCATGGCTGTAACCTAGATGCAGACCTGCCAAGTCTCACAATTTAATCGTGAGATGCACAATTTTTTATGCTTTATCACAATTAAGTCCCCAGATGCTTTCTTACGATTAAGTGTTCCAAACACCCGCGGAAAAAATAAATATGCTATTTTTTCGTGAGACTTGACACTGGAAGCTACTGAAGCCATAAAGAAAAAACTGCCTATTTTTAATACATAAGCCTTGCATTATGGTTATATTAACAAAATATAAATGCATACTATCCTAAGATTGAATATCTATTGATTATTTTCTAGTGTTGTTAAAGTTAACCCTGGTCATGTTAATGAGCAAACCTGAACATTTCTAAGTCTCACAATTTTTCAGTCAATCTCACGACTTGTTAGATAGCAATAACTCACTATTTCTGCTACTCAAGGGTTGGCAGGTCTGTATATGTATATTGATTGCTGTAAAACGCACAACAGACACAACAAGACCCAACAGATTAAAAAAAAGCCAACAGACCCAACAAAATCCAACTGATTCAAAAACCCAACTGCACAGCAAAACCGAACACACTCTCCAGGCTATTTTCATGTTGCGCGCAATGCTATTAACTAAGGTAATTCATGACCAAGTGCTTGACGTGTATTTTCGTGTATTTATTTAATATCTAATATTTTCCAAATCAAAAAATAAAGAAAATAACTATTCAAAAAGTGAGAAATGTGTGATAGTGCATACGGTAATCTACAATTTCGGAGTACTGAGGTGAATCGTGATTTTCATTAGATGATCAATTACAGCTGCCCTTTCAACTACAACTTTGCAGATAAATTTAATGTCTTTAATTCAAACCGCAAACGCAGAAAATATATTTTGTTTTCGTTTGAATTTTAGGGTATTGTAGATGGACATTATCGAGTCGATAATAATTTCCATCTTCAATATACCCTTCAATGAATATTCATTAGCATAATTTCAGTAATAAAAATGACCTTTGAGTATTCTGATTCGCTCCCTCAGCAGTAAATCTGAGGCAATAGTTACTGCTCAGACAGCTTTAAGCAGTTTATGCAAATTATATTCATAAAATATGTAAACATGTTAAGGTGGCTCGATACAGTTTTCAGAAATTCAGGTGTTCAACACTTTGACATGTTCAAACTACGCATTTTTAGGATTTATTCAACAGATATTGAGGTTTTTATATATTTTGATATCTCTACTTTCAAATTATATTAGTTTTAGTAACAGATAGTTCGTTGCTATGACGACATACGTATACGAAATTCACTCCAAATCGTCTCGTTTTGTTCGAAAAGAAGCATGGTGACCCCCAATTTGTTTTCTTGCATTATTTTACTTGGACGAAAAGCTAACAATTAGCAAAATATAAAAAAATTCTGTAATACCATTTTTTTGGAAAATGTCATATTCTTCGGTAAAATTTTTTTTGGCATTACAGAATTTTTTTATTTTTTGTATAATGAAAGTTTTTAGTGGTGCAATACAGCATAGGTCACCAGGCAAAATAAAGAGATATAGCACATTGTTTTTCTAAAATGGAAAATTTTAATGACGTCAGCAATTGACATAAAATGCTATAGAACACGCGCAATGACGTGAGATGGCGCGAGCAACTGGTCACGTCAGATAATTTTGGAAGTTTGTTCATTTGTTATAATCAGTTTCCGCGACCTACCCGTAAAAATGGTCACCCGGTTTTGAGTTCGAGATTCTTGAGCAGAATTTTTGTGATAACTATATCGAGCCACCTTAATTAGTTGTATATTAGTCGTTTTAGTATAATTAGTGAAATTATACTAAAACAATGAGTCGTCTCAGGCTCGGTGACTAGAAGGCTACAGTATATTCACTTCGCCTTAGGCTCAGTGAATATAGGCTTCTAATCACCTCGCCTTCGGCAACTAATTGTAAAATAGAGTGAGATGCCAACAATATATTGATATTTACCCATAACATATACATGGCAGTACCCTAGTATATATACGCATTGAGCCGCAACGCATCCCAGTGCGCACTACTTATTTTTTACTAATCTAACGCCAGACAATTTTACTAGTCAATGGGGACGCTCTGCAACTTAATGTGTTAAAAAATAGTGTTGTGTTTTTAGTCATATGTATTTAAACATATTATCACAAAGTTTTAAAGAAAATTCAAAGAAAATATTTTTCAAACATGCATGACCGTTAATCGAACAGCTGCCTACCTACAAATGCGGACTTCATACTTTTTTAACTTGTTTGCAGCGCTGCATGCTGTCCAACATTAAATTTTATTATTGAATTAAAGTTAACCCCATTCCTATTCTTAGTTTACGACTGGGAGTAAAAGTCTCTTTTACTCTCATGGGAGTACAAGCGACTGTGAGACTGGGAGTAAAAGTTATACGGTCTGGTATTATTATTATTAAATAACAGTGTTCCACAGTCCAGCAGTTACCAGTATTTTTATTATTACTGTACAAGTCAAACAAACCTTTTTAACATGTGCACCACTTATAGGTAACAAGATACATGCATAAGCTAATTTGTCACCTGCACAATAATTAATCAAGTGGTGATCTAGACAGCTAAGCCAAAGTATCAAAATTACTATAATTGTTTTCATGTGACATATATCACAAAATTCTAAAATCAAAGCTACAAAGAGGACTATCATATATGTTCTGTGCAGTATATATTCATTTTAAAAGTGTCACATACTCTACTAAAAGTTTCCAGTCAACACAATTCTTCCTGCTTCAATTAGAGTCTTGAAAATATTACTGATGTCAGTATTATTTCCAATGGCTTTTTAAAACTACAGTATGTTATAAACACAGGAAGTTACAGTCATAACCATTGGATATCATATTTTAAATTTGGACTATTGGATATCACAAGCTTACAGTAGTAACCACTGGGATATTAAGCCATAATCATATCGTCTCATAAAGCTACCTCCCTGTTGCTTTTTTGTCACACTGTAAACCTCTGAATTAAAGCCCCCCCCCCCAATATAACCCCATTGTGTTTAAGTCCACCACATTTACTAATGCTTAGGCCAGTCCAAATATAACCCCTGCCCTCCCCCAAATATAAGCCCCCATGTATAAGCCACCTTCCTTATTATTGGACAGGTAATTATTAAGGCAGTGACGAAGATTACTTGTAACAGCTCAGACAAGTGATGATAATTCCATTACTAACAGTATCATAACATGTTAACCAACTTGTTTTATTATGTGTTATATACTTTATTTTAAAACGTGAACAGTACAGTATATACTGTACAGGTACAGTACAATAAATATTTATATTATTTACGAACATCAAATGCCATCCATATATATAAGCCCCCCCCCCATGTATAAGCCCGTCACAGATGTTTAAGACTGAACATATGTCCTAATATTCGGAGGTTTTCGGTATGCGTTTGTAAGCAGAAATATTCTTTATCCTTAACAGTGTCTGCGTTACAAGATTCTTCATTACGATATTCATGTCACTCAGCTCATTAATCTTGTTTTTTAACTTAACAAAGCAGTTTGAATTGAAATTCAGAAAATTGAATTGTGTGTTATCCGGACTTGAAATGCATTACTCTCCAATGGGTAACCACCAAAAAATTTGGCTTTTGGGTTGAATTTCTTGTCTGCTCAGTTGCTACTGCAAGTCTTACCCAGTGAACTCTAATGTAAATTATGCACAACTTTTGAACATGCTATGTGAATGTGCAAAAGATGAGTTAGTTGTATCATTAAGTTCTGCATCACAACAAATATTCCAACAAAAACTGAAATATCACTAGTACAGTATATGCTGTAACAGCATGTACATTTTAATTTAGCTCAGCAATCAATACACATATACAGACCTGCTAACCCTTGAGTAGCAGAAATAGTGAGTTATTGCTATCTAACAAGTCGTGAGATTGACTGAAAAATTGTGAGACTTAGAAATGTTCAGGTTAACTTTGCTCATTAACATGACCAGGGTTAACTTTAACAACACTAGAAAATAATCAATAGATATTCAATCTTAGGATAGTATGCATTTATATTTTGTTAATATAACCGTAATGCAAGGCTTATGTATTAAAAATAGGCAGTTTTTTCTTTATGGCTTGAGTAGCTTCCAGTGTCAAGTCTCATGAAAAAATAGCATATTTGTTTTTTCCGCGGGTGTTTGGAACACTTAATCGTAAGAAAGCATCTGGGGACTTAATTGTCATAAAGCATCAAAAATTGTGCATCTCACGATTAAATTGTGAGACTTGGCAGGTCTGCATCTAGGTTACAGCCATGATTGAGCTGAATAAACATTAAAACATATTTATAAAAATTTAAATAATGATTTTTATTAAAAGCTTATAGCTATTTCAGGGTTTTTTTCAGGATTCTCTCTTGGGTCCGTTTTTGCAGAAAAGATGGAGTTTAGCTGAACAGCTGGGGTGGCTGCACCCCTCCCCCTACCAGGGGGGGGGGCTGACACCTGTACTCAATAAATGTAGTTGAGATGGAATGTGTTAAAGCAGGGGCACTAAGGGATACTATAAACTGATTAAAGATGGTGAATGCATAGTTTTTCTTGTGTTGTGAGAGGAATTTCAGCCATTTTTTTTAATTGTCAGGTTTCCAACTGAAAACTAATTTCCACACGTCACAAATTTAACTCAAACTATTATTAGCACTGATGAAGATCCGGGCTTACGGATCGAAAGCTTTGCAGTAATAAATTTATGTGGTGTTTCCACAAACAAAACTATTATATTTTATCACCATGCAAACATACAAAGAACTTATTACTTCATTTTTACTGCACTGAAACTTTGGTGAGAAGATTGAGTTTCAAAACTCAATTCAAGATTGACTTTTTGGGGCCGTTTAACAGCCCTAAAAAATCCCTGAAAAAAACCCCTGTATTTAACCCATCAAGTCGCATTACGCCCTACTTGATTATTTTACTCTGTCTAACGCCAGGTGATTTTACTCATCAAGGAGAGAGGGCCATGGTGCTTAATGGGTCAAACTTAACAGTATAAAGCTGGGCTTGCATTGTCCTAAGTGGTATACACAACAAACATTAGTGTTTGAGGGTTAGGGCTTGTGTTGGCTGCAGATCAGCTCAAATATCACCCACATGGGAAAGGCTTTTATAATAGAAGTGATCATATATTGTGAGCATTTTATTGACTTATAATAGAATGAAATATAATAACAATGTAAGTAATTGCAGGAGCAGTTTTTACTCAGTAATATATGACTTGATTGCAAGTATGAATTAGATCGATAAAAGTCGATCAATCCAATGTAATGTTCATTTCATATTTATATTTTTGTGTGTGCTTTGATGTTATGTACTCAGGTGAATATAATGTTTTTAATGTTACTCTGACTGTATATCCATGCACCCCGAGCAGGCTGAAAAGTTAGCCTGATATCATGATCATAGAACACATTGGTATCAAAGGTACTGGACTTAGTTCCGAAATACCACACACTCGAACATACTTGGCCTCGTAGCTCATTTGGCAGAGCATTGGACTAGTATGCCAAAGGTCACAGGATTCGATTCCCACCGTATCAGGCTAACTTTTCAGTCGGCCTGTCCGGTGTGGGTATACACTCAGAGTAACATCATATATAATTATATAAATTGATCATGTGGTACTGTATGTTACAGGTTCATTGACTGATAATTATCAGGTATGGATTTTGATTAGTTGAAAAAGAATATGCATGCAATTTCAGTGATGCTGAAATATTAATTCTGTATTATATTTTAATATTTAGTTGATTAATTGTCAAATAAACAAATGTGAATGCAATTACAATATGGCTCATTAAATTCACAGAAAACTTCCCCAGCAGTAATATATAAAATTGGAAATAGTTTTTCAGAAATCTTGTGGTCACCTGTGTCTGACACCCAAATCTTCAATCCAAATTTTACACCTGTGTCTGACACCCAAATCTTCAATCCAAATTTTACACCTGTGTCTGACACCCAAATCTTCAATCCAAATTTTACACCTGTGTCTGACACCCAAATCTTCAATCCAAGATTTCTGTATGGTCAACAGAAGTTAACCATACATAAATATATAAACCAAAACAATGGATTGAGCTTTCATCTTCAGTTTATAATCACGCTTTGAAGTTGTCCAACAGTCCAATTGATAATAAATTGACAAATTGGGTTTGATTGTTATTGATTGTTAAATTGCAAGATCCAAAAATATGCAGATACAATGACAATATTTATAATTTTTGCACTGTAACCATATATGCAGATGACAAAAAAACTCAAAAAACTTATAACAACACAGTTAATTATCTTTAGTTTAAAAATATATTAAAGTTGGTTAATACCAGACTTAAGCAAATCGCAATAAAAATAGGAACAGTTCGGTACGTTTTGGGTCAATCAAGTAATTTTTAAACTTTATAATTACATGTATAAATACAGACATTATCACTAATGATAATAGTTGTAGCGAAAATATCCATGGACAGTTATACTTCGATATAACAAATTATATATTTTCTACGTTTAAGTTATGGCTTACAGTTTTGTTTTAAGTTTGAAGACATTAAATAATCCGATATCGTGGAAAATGGTGCTCTGGTTGATATAAACATTTGCGTGTAAATCAGCACAGCATTTCTACATTGGTACTACCTACATTGGTACAGACAGTTTGCATGTATTAAAATACTGTATGGCTTTATAAATATTCATGCAAACGAATATCATGCATCACCTCGAATATCACAACTCACCTCAGGACTCAGTTACCCTCAATTGTAGATTATTGTCTAGACTATCGAACAATGTTCTTTTCTTGAATTTTCCATATCAAAATTAATAACTGTTCTTTTCTGTGTATTTTTACAAACACATGAAAATACAATTACATTTGATTTGAGTAATAACATTTTGCATATTTTCGCGCAAAGGCAAATAGCCTGGAACTAGTGTTGTTGGGTTTGTTGGCCCAACAATGAACCCAACGCAAATCCACTATTCCTAAAACGTGACTCATGTGCAGCAGTCTTTTTTTTCCATGCTTCTCTACGCTTTCCCAGGCGAGCTTCTCTTTCCTTAGCAGTCTCCTCAAGCAAACGTTGTCGTCTTCGCTCCTTATTTTTCGTTAGACGTTCGGCTTTCTTGTCGTTTCCTTGCCGCTCTTCATTTGGCTCCATGCATATCTTTTCAACTGGTATTTGATACCGTAATTGTTTTATTAAACTTTTTATAGAACAAATTGCTTTGAAAGCTGTCAAAGTTTTTTGCAAACGTACAAAATACTGTAGTGTAAAAAGCAAGTTATATTCATGAAGTATCTGTCAGTTGAAGTCGTCATTTGTCATACAACAACAAATTTTAAATTTGACCAATCAGTGTTCGCTATCCATGACAGTCCGCCATATTTTTGAGATCAGTGAGGACGACCACCCACTCAAGGTTCGTTGGTCACGCCCGCGATATTTGATGAACTTTAGACCAGTGAACTCTAATAAAACTGGAACGCTAACTCAACCGCCATCTTTGAAGCTAAATTGAAGGAGGTTTTTCTGAGTTTTGAGCCGAAATACTTGACGCCAAACATTGATTTATATGTCAAACTGAAACTATTGAAAGACGCTATTTCGTGTAGAAATTTCACGACTTTAGCTAAAAGGGAAGTATCTTAAAAATATTTCAGATATTTGCTATTTTTTGCCGATTGGCAGTTGTTTTTGTATTTTTTAAATATTTCCCTTTTAGTTGAAGTCTTGAAATTTATACACCGAATAGAATTTTTCAACAGCTTCAGTTTGATATATAGCCCAACGTTCGGCGTCAAATATTTCTACTTAAAACTCAGAAAAACTATTTCAGCTTCATGCAATCATAGGGCTTAATCATAGGAGTTATCGTTCCAGTTTACTTATAGTTCAATGCTTTAGACTTGGCTAATGCTTTCGTTTCCCCGGGTGTAAATAGCCGGGGGGAATTAGTACCCTCGCACGGCGCTTCGCGCCGCCGGCTCGGGGATAAATTTATGCACTTTTTTCTGCGACAGCCTGTGTGGAATGATGTTTTTTATTATTGAATCGCCGATTAAGACAACACACGGTCTTGCACTTTGGTCTCCAAGGCGATAAGGATTTTAATAAACATTACCAGTGGGATGGTTCGTGCGCTCAGGTGGGCATTGTGACGATTGTTCCGGCTGAACAATTTCATCAGTTTCACCCTCAACAATTCGACATTCATTACCAGCAGGATGGCTTGTGTGCTGCGGTGGGCATTGTGCCGATTGTTCCGGCTGGACAACTTCAGCAATTTCGTTCTCATCAATTAGACATTCATATCTATTATACGTTATTTGTGGTTGACTTACACTGTTATTTTTATGAAAGTTTTTATTACTATTATGAATTTATTGCCATGGTACGGGGTTGTTTTGCGGCACTGGCAACTGACACTATTCTCCCTATGTTGATAAAGTTTTTCTTGAGCAACAAGCCTTGTCGCGAGCTGTAGAGATTCTCTTCCTTCCTCCAATTTAAGGCCCTGTCAAACTGCAACAGTTTGACAGGGCCTTAAATTGGAGGAAGGAAGAGAATCTCTACAGCTCGCGACAAGGCTTGTTGCTCAAGAAAAACTTTATCAACATAGGGAGAATAGTGTCAGTTGCCAGTGCCGCAAAACAACCCCGTACCATGGCAATAAATTCAGCAATAAATATGAGTGATATGACATTTTTCATACGCTGGCATAGGCTAGTACGATACGCAACGTATCGTACTAGCCTATGCCAGCGTATGAAAAATGTCATATCACTCATACGCCGGCATAGGATGTATACGTTTCAAGCACGGTCGCATACGGTGGCATACGGCGAGGCAAAAAATTTTTTTAAGCATGTTCAAAAATTTTGTGCGTATCGGACGTATGCTTTATACGATAAGCATACTCTAGGTACACGCTGAATACGCTAGAGGTAACTAGAGGTACGCCAGATGTACGGTACTCATACGCTGGCATTTCAAAGGATTTTAATTTTGTGCGTATGAAAATTATTTCATTAATTTTCATACGCTTCTCTCATACGCAATAGTGTGACAGGGCCTTTAATTAGCTTTTGTTTAAGAGAATTTATGTATCTTGTTTTTAGGCCGTAGGATGAGCATCCAAAAGATGCAATTTCGTTGCACCCCTCGTGTAACTACGTAATTTTCGCATGAATAAATAGATAAAAACTTACTTTATCAGAATCCGCTGCTCCCCAAGCGAAACAGTTGCACAATTGGGAGAAAAATCCCTCCAAAGTTTGATATTTTCGCGCTTCGAAATACTCGAACCGCCATTATTTTGGTAGCAAATACGCATGCGCAACTCAGCCAAACTCGCACTGCGCACGCGCAGACTATAAAAATAGATTCTCAGTGGGGGGTTTCCCCGATTTCCTACACAAAAACAACAAAATAAAATCACGGAATACTGACCAATACTGATAAACCTTGTAATATAAATACACCCACATTAAATATTGTTAAAAACACATTGTATATTTTGCTTGCTCATATGCTAAATCCATAGATATAGGAGTTCTCCAATATCTATTGCTAAATCACTTCAATTCATTGGCTATTGTTTCAAAATACCGTTTTAACGTTTAATTCTACTTTATATTAACATCCTAATTCAATACAAATTTGCGTGAGGTAAAAACCCACCTATATCAAACAGGACGAAGAATAAAAAGTATATATACATGTATACAATTCACACGATCAAGGAACAAACGAAATATTTCGCTAAACTTAAAGCCTTGGCCAAACGTAAGAAATAATGTTGCGGAAATATTCGTGATTTTTAATTGGCTTTTATTGCAGACGCAAAATTTGCTTCCCAGAAAGCAAATTATTTCCTACCAAATTCAGAAGCATTTTATGAAACACTCTTATCCGTTTGCCGACGCTAATAAGACAATATGACATACCGAGAGATTGGAAAGACAAATAATATGACAAACAGTGTTTCCCAGTTCATCCTGGGCTTTAAGGGATATTTATATAAACTTGAAATTCATCATAACAAAGATAAATTGTGGGCGGAAATATAAAATCCATAATTTCATTATAGCTATCTATAATTGAAAGAAATTTTTTCATCTTTGAACTCAGGTTTTCATCAGAGCAATAAAATCCCACTTATTGGATCCTGGCCAAGGGCTTGTACGCTCAAAACGAGATTGCATGTATTCTGCAATAAACTGTCCTGGCTTTTGTCTGGTAAAGTTCTACTTCTTGTATTTGAACTATTACATGTATTATTTTTATATTGTGACATAAGTTGGTATTTAGCCACTATCTAGAATAACAAGGAACGATTCAGCCTGGTTTTTCGTGTCCACACTAGTTGACTTTTTCTTATACATTTGCTGCTGTGCGTTTCAGCTCCTCCACCAGGGTGCATTTTAGCTTCCCAGACATGACCATACTGTTACCCTGTCCATGAGAGGGATATATGTGTTGATAATATAAATACTGTGGATCCGATTGAGAATATCGAATAAGTAAATAAATACTGATCTACTCCACTGATAATACCTATTATATGTGACTTATCACCATTGTTCGCCTCAAATCATTAATAATTCATGAGCAAATTAGCCAACCATATTGCTTTATTTTGCTCACATGATAATACTAGATACCTTATGAAGTATATTGATCCTGTAGTGTCCTACTGTAGGACTGGATTAAAATTCATTCAGTCCTTGAACTGGATCAAAATTAATTAAGTAGTGATTTATTCATATGGTGTCATTTCAAATCCTCCAATTCGAACTGGACTAGATTTCAAGTCCTCACATTTTGATCCTGTCCTCTGATTCGCCTCGGACGTAATCAAATTGTGTGGACTTGAAATCTAGTCTAGTCCTGACCTCATAGTCGGATTTGAATTATTATCCCTTGTCAAATCAGATGCCAATGGTGGCCAAGGAAGATTCAGTTTTGGTATTTCTTGCACCTTTTGGTGAAGAATTAATGCAGCATTGTATAGAATTTGTAACTCATTGACTTTAGAATTTCCCTCAATTTCTGTGTTGGAATTCACATCATCATAATCAATGGTACAGCTCTCTTCATCAAAGTCCTCATCATTGTTTTCAGACTTGGGGTCTGTTTATATGGAAGCCGGCCTGATAAGCGAGACAGCCCGGTAAGCGAGATCTCGCTGTGTAGTTATTTTTATAGTAAAAATTATCGTGCGTTTATATGGACAAACGGGCTGCCCCGGTTGCCAAGATCTCGTTTGAAAGAGGCTAGATCTCGCTTACCGGGATGAAAATTTCTCCATATAAACATTCACAAGCGGGCTATCCTGGTTGCCGGGATGAAAGTTCAAAGATACCGCCGCAAGCTATTTTTAACAACTGTCAAAACAATATAATGTAACAATTTGTCCCGGCAAGCGGGATGAAAGTTTCTCATATAAACACAAGAGAAATTCATCCCACTTATCTCGCTAAGCGGGCCAGCCCAACTTCCATATAAACAGGCCCTTAATTAATTGACATATGTTCCTCAACCAATTCAGAAGAATCCAAATTTTCCACATATACAATCTCAATAACATTTCTCATTTTCAGTACTCAGAACACAAGTTGGGGATAACTTTTCATCAGTCATTGCTTGATTTTAAAAGCTCTATATTTAGATGCATTCACATTCTCAGTGTCCTTAGCAATGATAACAAATTTCCCCAGCAAATCTTTCATATACTTTATTTGCTTATTTCTGATGACCTCCATCTCAATTACTTTTTTACAGAATACATCATAAGACTTCTCGTACACTGATGCTGTTGTTGTTTCTTCGTCTCTCTGGTGAGAAATATTGTATAATTGCAGTAGCAAACTTTGTGATAGCAGATTTCCAGAGCTACACAGTCTTTCCCATGGATTTGCATGAGTATCTGTTGATCATTCTTTCTCTCGGCAGCTGTACGAAGAAGACCAGCATAATTGTTTCTGCCAGCATGAGTGAGGTTCTTCTTCTCTTCTTAGTTGCCTGGTATGAAACAAAATAAATTATCAAATTAAATATCTACTAATAACAAGGTTGGATGTTTGTAGCATAGAAACTACTTTACCCTAAATAAACATAATTGATCAAAATTCAACATATTTTAAAACCAAACCTGAGAATGTTGTGCACATTGCACTAGTATTATACCTATCAAAATGACCATACCTTGTCTAGTGAGAACCACGAGGCGTCTCTTCCACAAATAATACATATCTTTGGGAGTACATGCGCGTTTCTTTTAGGCAGGGCCTTTATATTTATATTTATAACTTCTGCGACTGATTGACGTGTAATTTTTCGCCTTGGTTCCACTTCCTCGTGTGATTCTTCGGTAGAAGTTACAGTTTTACAGCTAGTTCCTTCTTCTTTTTCTTGTTTTCTCTGTTATCTACAGATCTTCTCTTCATCACAAAATCTCTTCCAGCATTTCATATGATGGTTCCATTCTAAGTTAATGGTGTCAGGGTTCTTCTCCATGTATGAATTCATTTGACAGATCCGTCATCGATGTTCTCGTACGATTTCTTAGCTATTTCAGCTTGTTGACATTTAAGTTTGGGCCATTTTGACCTAGGCTCAAGAAATTTCTTAAGTCTTTGGCGCGTAACTTTGCAAAGTTGCTCCGTAACGCCAACAAAATGCATAAAACATGAGGATAGTCGTGTTTTATAAATATATTCAGCCATGTTTATTTGCATAACTGAGCGGTGTTTCCACTTCCAAGCATGTGGGTTGGTTGTGCGCGTGCGCAGTGCGAGTTTGGATGAGTTGCGCATGCGTATTTGCTATCAAAACAATGGCGGTTCTAATATTTCGAAGCGCGAAAATATCAAACTTTGGAGGGATTTTTCTCCCATTTGTGCACCTGTTTCGCTTGGGGAGCAACGGATTCTGATAAAGTAAGTTTTTATCTATTTATTCATGTGAAAATTATGTAGTTACACGAGGGGTGCAGCGGAATCCGTTTTCTAAGCATCTTTTGGATGCTCATCCTACGGCCTATTTCTCATTTATCTCACTTGAATATTTTTCGTTTAAATCCGCCGCTCTGTTATCCCCGAGTCGGCGGCGCGAAGCGCCGTGCGAGGGTACTAATTCCCCCCGGCTATTTACACCCGGGGAAACGAAAGCATTAGCGAAGTCTAAAGTTCATCAAATATCGCGGGCGTGACCAACGAACCTTGAGTGGGTGGTTGTCCTCACTGATCTCAAAAATATGGCGGACTGTCATGGATAGCGAACACTGATTGGTCAAATTTAAAATTTGTTGTTGTATGACAAATGACGACTTCAACTGACAGATACTTCATGAAAATAACTTGCTTTTTACACTACAGTATTTTGTACGTTTGCAAAAAACTTTGACAGCTTTCAAAGCAATTTGTTCTATAAAAAGTTTAATAAAACAATTACGGTATCAAATACCAGTTGAAAAGATATGCATGGAGCCAAATGAAGGGCGGCAAGGAAACGACAAGAAAGCCGAACGTCTAGCGAAAAATAAGGAGCGAAGACGACAACGTTTGCTCGAGGAGACTGCTAAGGAAAGAGAAGCTCGCCTGGGAAAGCGTAGAGAAGCATGGAAAAAAAAGACTGCCGAAGCAAAAGGTAAGCAAAGGGAGTATAAGAGAGATGTTTTAGGCAACAGAAAGAAGCTGGAGAAAGTACCGAGGAAAAGGAAACTCGCTTGGCAAAACAAAGAGAAGCATTGGGAAAAAAGACTGCTGAAGCGAAAGGTAAACAAAATGAGTATATGCGAGTCTATAGGCAACAGAAAAAAGCTGGAGAAAGTGCTGAAGAAAGAGAAACTCGCTTGGCAAAACTAAGAGAAACGTGGCAAGAAAGGACTCCAGAAGTTAAAGGTAAGCGAAAAGAGTATAAGAGAGTGTATGATTTAGATAAAATGCAAAATGAGACTGATGGACAACGAACAAACAGGGTACAAAAGAGAAAACAAGACCGAGCAACCGAAACAGTTGATGAGCGAGCAAGAATACTTGAAATACTACGAGCAGTTTTTCACAAAGCAAGTTCAAATGAAAATGACCAAAAATCAGATGAGCAGTTGAGTATGTCTGTTGATCTGGCAACTGTAGATATATCCTCTGTTCTTGAAGCAGACAAGGATAATGAGTCTGTACATGAGGCAGAGGGGCCAGGGGTGAGTAGAAATGAATATTTACATGAGGGTGGTTGGCAAAATGTTGACAACCCTCTGCATGAGCTAGAGTTTGTACAAAATGAAATGCACAGTTTTCATTTAGATCAAGAACATTTAGAGCATCGACAATGTACAATGTGTAAAGAAGCTTGGCCGACACGACAGAACTTAGCATCAGAAGTATACATTTGTTACCGGTGTAAAAGAGACAAGAAATCACCCAAGAAATTCAGTGCGGAGAATGACATGGATCCAGGAATAGTTCCTGAACAATTGAGAGGTTTGACACAGGTAGAAGAAATGTTAATTTCAAGGGTTTGTCCCATTATGAGAGTGTATAGAAAACATGGGGGTCAGAGGGGGTATAAAGGACATGTACTCAACTTACCACAAGATATTCAAAGTTTCTTGAATAGGTTGCCTTCTCGTGTGGCAGACTTGCCTGTCTTGATTGTGCGAAGACATGGTGCAGAAGACACACATCGAGACTTTACTGTGCGTCGACACAAAGCTCTTGAGGCTGTACTATGTTTAAAGACAAACAATCCGTTCTTTAAAAATATTGAAATTGATAGAGATGGCATCCAAAGTTTACCAGAAAATGGTATTCCTGATGAGCTAAGGTATGTCATTGATGAAAATGAGCTTTCAGTTCATGTTGAAAATGAGGGGCCTCCCCAAGACCCAGTAATGAGTGCTAATGCAAGTGTGGAAGAGTTAGTTTTAGGAAGTGGCAGTACATCGTTTATTCCTATGCGTCAAAGACAGAGAAAAGAAGGTGCGGCTATCCAAGATGCAGTAAATGAGGTTGATCCGTTAGACTGGCCATCTACTGAAGGTAATCTCATTAATGAATTTAAAACAGATGGTTTAGCTACTATGGCCTTTCCTACATTGTTTCCTTATGGGAAGGGTGACCCAACAAATAGGGCAAGACAACATGGTATAACGTTAACCGAAGCTTTCAAACATTTAATGAAGTTTGCAGAGTCGCTTGCAGATGGTAAGTTTGAATGGAGGTTTGCTTCTCACCCACGGTTTCCTTATTGGGCGTTAAATATGAAACAACGGCATCAGCTGTTGTCACAAGCAAACGTTTACTTGCGTCAACATCCTGCTGATGCAAACATGACAATGGAAGAACTGAAGCAGATGGTCAATTCCATGAGTGCAAATCAAATGGTAAATAGGTTGCAGCGCTATGTGTCCAAAGTACAAGGTACGAATCAGTATTGGTATCAGCGGCTGCAGGAATTGCTGGCCCTGATTGAACAAAAAGGCTGCCCTACTTTTTTCTTTACCTTTAGTGCAGCTGACATGCATTGGCCAGACTTACAGAGGCTGTTGCAGAATGATGAAGGTGCAAGCAGATCTGAGCGAGCACAAGCTGTAATCGACAATCCCCATCTGACTGATTGGTTCTTTATGCAGCGGCTGCAGGAGTTTGTCAGACATTGGCTTAATGGCGTCTTGGATGCTGAGTGGCACTGGTATCGATTTGAGTACCAAGCTAGGGGAAGTATTCATTGCCATGGATGTGCAAAGTTAAAAAATGTCCCTGATATTCGAAAATTACGTAATAAAGGATGTGTTGCATTCCTAGAGAGTGAGACAACAAGGTACGAAATGTCACCTGATGATTTTGAATTGCTTTGCGGGGATGTGATAAGACAGGGAGAAGATGCTGAGAAGTTGTTAATACAGTAAGAAAAAATATTTTCCATATTAATGTTTCCAATGCGTACTGTACGTAGATCAAGCTAACTGTGCAGAATCTGTTGTGGGATAATTGTTTCAATAACAAAATGTTATCCTGCAAGAGGCCTTCAAATGCATGTATACCGGCACAATACCGGATCATAATTATTGCAGTAGTTACACAATACCGGATTTAACCACTGCTGCCTATTTTGGATATTTAATAATATGACTACTACGTACTGTAAATTAAAAGGCAGGATAAACTACTGTACACAACTTTTGCCTAAAATTGTCGCATACAACCTGCTTATATGCATGTATACAACTTGAGTGTACTGGGTGAACCAGCACACAACTATGCCTATGACAACGTAAGTGAGTAAATGCAAGTTTAATACAGTGAATAACAGTGTCAACTTGTGTCCTTGATAATTTACACAGTAAAGCTCAAGTTGTACAAGCAGGTTGCATAAGGCAAAAGTTGTGTAGTGTAAATCTGCCTTAATACACAAAACACTCACCAAATATCCAGCTAATAATATATGCAGATAGCCAATCTCCACAATTTTGAAAGGTCTTTCGCCCATCTTTTTTATTATTATGCATATTTTATTATATTATAATACGGTAGTATTAACGACATTAACTTTGCTACATTAAAATTGAAAAAGTAACAATATTTTACATGCAAACAAAAATTCCTTATAAAATTCCTTAAAAGGTGTCAATTTTCCTCAAAGGAATTTTCAATAATTTCTGAAGATTTCATTGGAATGTAAGAAATTACATAAATAGAAAGTGGAAATTTAACTGTGGTCATACAGGTTTAACAGGAAAATGTTTCACTCAGTCAATGGTGTGATTAAAACTGTTTTATGACTAATTCGGTAACATTTGGCTAATAGAAAAAGCGCACATGTTTAAAGTGTCCCTGTCACAAAATGAGAGTTTATATTTTCGAAATCTATGATACAAAATATACGGAAATTCGAAAACGGAATTGAAATTGCTTTTTTAGTGTAAAAGTTATTGCCGTTTAAACATTGAATTTGGCCTTGTGAAAAATCTGAAAACCGCGCAAAAGGGACTGGGACGAAACAATGCGTGTGACGTAATAGTAGGAACTTATGTAACTCACTAATATAGAAATACTATTGCATGTACTATCATAGAGGAGGCAATAGCGCAAATAAAAGTCACGAAACTGAAAAATTGCCGAATATACTGTATGTGTAGTAGGCGGTTGTTCTAATGTCACAGATACAGAGTAAGGCATTTCACTTCATTTTATACCTTTTACTGGAGGCGAGATGCACGAAGCGAAAAGGATACGGATTGACTTCGTGCACCTTAAACCAGCAATATGAGATCCAATGTTCAGCATACTTTGCGAAGATATAGCTTGCTGGTAAAACCACGGTTAAGCTACCGACGAAATTGGTTTCGTTGCAATTCCAAAATATACAAATACTGTCGACGACAAACCTTTGTTTTCTGCGAGAGCCAAGAGAATGGTATATGTATAATTTATACTCTAATTTCGTTTATCATGCACTTGAATATGGCCTAGTGCAATTTTTATTCCAAATTCGTTATTTGAATAGGTTGTATTTAGAAGCTGCTTTGATGCAGTCAACCGATATGGTCATAGTCACGAAACTGGAAAGCGCGATAAATATAAATGAGCCACAGCCAATGGATTCACCAGAAATATAAAATATCGCGACAATATAGCTATGACTATGAGTGAATATGGTCAAAATATAGCTGATGAAAGCCAATTTCGTACGTCTACAAGCAATGTGCACTGTTTGTATTTTTGTTTAGACAGGGAAAGTAGAATTGTACGTATAAGTAAACTTGACGCAGTAAATTATACATATATACACTCGTTGTGTTTGCACCGCAGTGAAAACCCGTACAATATGCAGATTTTGTAACAAATTAATATTGTGGCATGAAACCAGATACACTGCGGGGGTGTATATAAAATGTACTACAAAGTATAATCCATTGAAGCAACTTAATGAAATAACTTAGTCATTGCCACATTTACTATAGTATAAGGCAGTGCCTGGAACGAAATACAAGTCAGAAAAATTCCTAAACGTGCTGCAACATTTTGTACAAATTAACCCGCGCGCATGAAGTGCACAAAAACATCAGATACAAATCTTAACCTCAAATTTCAGTCTCTTTGGCAAAACAATATTGAAGTCATGAATATAGCAAATGTGCTGTTTCTATACGCAATACAGTATAATATTACCACATTTAGACAGTGTGATAGGTTTATTTATTGAAAAATAGTTATATAATATCAAAAGCTGTTCTCTACAAATCCTACAAAGTCTTCATCAACAGCAGGTATTATTTTCTCATATGCGCAAAAATGTCTATTTCCTAGTTGTCCATAAACCATCCACACAAAGTTTCTATATGCTGTGCTCCTTCAGAATCTATAAATTAATAAATAAGTATTTTTAATAAGTCGCTTACTTGCATGTGAACACATGTAAATATATAATAATTCAATAATTCGGTACAGTATGTAGCCTACCGTATATAAACTCTCAGTTACTGTACCGCATGCGTGTGTTCACTGATAGTAAACTCGGGTACGGCAAAGTGTTTCTTAATTTCAATATGTTGATAAATAAACTTTATTTATCTATCTTCTGTGCTTGTTTGACAGTATTTCTGCTTCTTTCTTGTTCGTAATTTCGTGGCTGCTGAACGGAGAGCTCACGTATCTAGCCATAGCTGTTGAATTATACATGATGGCGCAACTTCAGCTTCTTGCATCAGTCACAAATCACAATGTCATTGTGTAGAGAATCGACGCACTCCTCAATTTGCATACAACGTTGACACCTTTAGCATAATTTACGAAGCAGTTCAATGCGACAATTGCCACGTTTATGTACATGAAATATTATAGTTTGTAATTTATGCACTAGTCAATCGAAGTCCCGGCCCCCCCCCACCCCCGGGGATATACCGGGTTTTAACGGGACTTTGCGGGGAAAATACAGGCTTTTAGCAAACGTCGCTTGTTTGCTACCCGGGGTTTTAACACTGACTTAAATAGCCGGGGCATCATAGCCGGGGATTTAACGCCATTTTTAACGCAATTGAAAAGCGCTCGGGAAAGTGATCGTGTGCACAGTATTAGATTTGTTTGTACTTTGTATATATTTATTTGGGAAATTATTATATTAAGATATTAAGCGCTACTTTTGTTGTTTGCATGATTTGAGTGATGTATTACCTGGTTTATACCGTGAATTTATATTTTACCCTATTAACATGCCGGTATATATGACCTGGCTTTTGCGTACTTTAATAATTAAAAACGGTATTATTTTATTCAATGTGATTAGAAGCGAACTTTCTCTAAGCCTCATTTAAGTGTAATAATTTTCTTTTTAGTAACGACCAGAAGGCTTTTTTATAACAAGTTTAATAAATTGTAACAACGTTTCGGAGTTTACTCCATCATCAGGTTACATTTATACGCACTAAACAAACCCGTATTATTTTACAAAGGAGCAAAGCATCTGACAGCCATTGGCTTCATTTGAACCATTCTCCTGTATTAATTTTATAATATGCATACGAAATTTTTAAAGAACGAACCAGGTAATGTATTAACTTTGGCGGAGTTTTAATGGAAATATTAATGTTAGGTTTTTTATCAAACTGCGCGGAAATTTGAAGAAAAAACACCCAAATGTTTAGGCCCAGTAACCCGGGGATTTTAACAATTGAACAAGATTTTTTAGCCGGGATTTTAACAACCGTGAAATGTTAAAATCCCCGCTTAGTCCCGGGGGTCGGGGGGCCGGGCTTTCGATTGACTAGTGCATTACAACACAAGGTCAAGTCACGCAACAAAATCAGAGTGAAATATTTACCATTTACTCAATTCTTCTGAACTATCAAGCCTTTGTTGTAATTGCTTAAGACGTTCGTTGTGATTGCTTTTTTTCGCGGTAACGTTTGAGCCATCTTCGTCCGTCACTGCATGGTTCATTAACATATGGGTCAAGCAGCGCCGATCATTTGTGCGCACGACGTTGACCACGCTTCACTGGTGTTTTCATCGATTTCACTCGATTTGATACGGCCCAGGAATATAATTTCAGGTAGTCATCGCTTTGGTAACTGTTATTTTCCGTATCTGAACTTCACGAAGACACTTGTATCGAATTTTGACCAGCTTGATTGTGATTCTCACTTAGTATTTATATACTTTTCACTTAGGCGAGAAGGCAATGTCTTCCTACTATGACGTATTAGTTACCAATTTCCCAGCTTCGCGGTTTCAAAAACTTTTGCCGTTAAAATTTGAAATTTTCAAATTTCATTGCCTTATTACTCTGTGAAAACAAGCTCAATTTTAAATCTGTTTTGTATTTTCATAATCTACGTTTCAAGACGATTCTAATGATGTAAACTCTCATTTTGTGACAGGGGCACTTTAATAATAAGTTATGATTATTTTAAAGGTATGTTGACTGGCTGGTGACAACTTTTAATGAGGAATTGCCAGATGAAAACTGGAGAATACCAGACCCTCACCCATCTGCTGTTAGCGCTACAACAGTGGATAATCGTGACAATGATTATCACAGGTTAGTTAATACTGTAGAACGACACACTAGATGCAGTCCAGCATATTGTTTGAAACAGAAAAGAGTGGACCTGCTTGCAGAATGCAGATTTGGTTTTCCAAAGCCATTACAGGAAGAAACAGAACTGAGTCTTGAGCTAGTGGTGGGTAAGAATACTAAGTCTGTTGAGTCTGAGTTACACACCAAACGAAATGATCAAAGGTTAAATTCACATAACAGGGTGATGCTCGAAAACTGGCAGGCTAATGTAGATTTGCAAGTCATTGTAGATGAGAAAGCTTGTGCAAGATACATGGCCAAGTATGCTGCGAAAGGAGAACCCCGATCGAAATCAGCGTCAGAAATACTAAAATTGTCTGTGTCCTCATTACAGAATGATGATCAAGTCTCTTCGGCCTTCAAGAAAGCAATGATCCAAGTTGCTGGAGATAGAGATATGGCAGCACAAGAAACTGCGCACATGCTACTTAGTCTACCACTGATTGGCTGCACATTTAGTTTTGTTACTATTTCTTTAGATAACAGCAGGAAGGTTAATATTGATGCAGAAAATGAAGGCGATGAGGTACTTCAAAAATCTGCGCAACAAGAATATGCAGAACGTACAAAATTGAAGAGTAGGTATACAGCCTTGTCTCAGCTAAATCTGATGCAATATGTGTCAGAGTACACCAAAGTCAGAGGTGAGTTGTCAAAACGAGCGAATCCGTACATTGTCAGGACATTTCCAAAGATTTCCGCTAATCCTGCTGGTCCTGATTTTGGAAAATACTGCAAATATCAACTAATAAAGTTTAAACCATGGGAGGGTCAACCATCAAATGCTTGGAACAACGAGGATGAAAGTGATCAAATGTTTATTAATGCATATGAATTTTTTCTTATGACAGATGAATTTGCGGAAGAAAATGTGTTTAGGTATTCCGATGAAACAGACAGAGTTGATGATGCGCAATGTGGTCAAACCTTTGAAAATGATCCAAGTGACAATCAAGATGATGACGACGAAAGTGAAGTTGACCCTGATGATGAGGAGGAAGTCGATGATTGGATGTTGTTATGCAGAATTAACCAAGATTATGGTGAAGCAGGGAATCGGATGTCAGACAATGAAGCAGTGGACTGGTTTGAAACGGTGAGAGCTGTGCCTAAAGATTTGTTAAGGGAATCTCCAGGATGGATCTATAGTCAGAGAAAGGAGGCTGAAGAACATGGTCAGCATTTTCGAGAAGATGATCAACAATGTGTAATTGATCCGGGGACCCTGAATGAAAAACAACGCCTTGCTTACGACATCAT